TTTGATATAGTCATCCTCCATTTTCACATAACACCAATTTTTGCTTAATGACCTGGTCTTTGGAACCATGTCAGTAAGTGAGGAGTGGGTATACTATAAATAATTCTGTACAGATAAATCTGACAATTTAAACAAAATTGACAATTTTCTTGAAAAACACAGTCACCAAGCTCATCAAATATGAATAAATAATTTAGATAACACCATAAATGTAGATGGAATTGAATTCTATTTAAAATGACATAATTACAGTAATCAACACTGTGATATTGGCAGAGGACAAGATACACTGATCCACGGGACAGAACAGAGAACCCAGAAATAGATTTACACAAATATACCCAACTGATTTTGACCAAGGAGCTAAAGCAATGCAATGAAGGTGAAGCAAGTAGACATCAATAGGCAAAAAAATGAACCTGATTTATATCATATAGCTTTTATAAAAATTAAATAAAAATGGATCATGGACTGAAATGTAAAATGCAAAACCATAAAATGTTTAGAAAACACAAAAGAGAATCTTTAGGAATTAGTGCTAGGACAAGAGTTCTTAGATATAACACCAAAGTAAACTATATAAAAGGAAAAACTGATAAATTAGACTTAATCAAAATTAAAAACTTTTCTTCAGCAACAGATCCTATTAAGAAATTGTGAAGACAAGCTACAGAGTGGGAGACAATATTTACAAACCACATATATAACAAAGGATTAGTATCTAGAATACATAAAGAACTCTCAAAACTCAATACAAAAAAACTCAAAAGCCAACCCATTGCCATAGAGTCTATTCTGACTCATCACAACCCCCACTGGATTTCAAAGGCTGTAAATATTTATGGAAATAGATTGCCCACCTTCCATGGAGCAGCTGGTGGGGTCAAACCACCTATTTTTTGGTTAGCAGGTGTGGTGTAGTGAATTACATGGCTTGGCTTTTCTAGCCACAGTCTTTAAAACTCTCACTGGATTACTGTGAGTAGCTGCTTTTAAACTCTTGATTATTAAAATCATACAACAGGGTTATTTCTGTTGGAACAGCAGGAAGTAATTTTCTGGGAAAGTTCACTCTCTCTCAGGTGTGTAGAACTCATCATGATGTTGGGATTGGTTGATTTTGCCACTCTGCCACGCTCAAAATGAACCCTCCTAGAGGCAGAAGGAATCTGTCTGCTAAGAGAGACGTGCTGCTGAGAGAGACACCTGGCCTAGAGACAGTGACAGTGGAACCAAGAAGCACGAGACAGAGCAGTGGACTTACCTAGCCCACAGAGACAGAGGCCAGGCCAAGAGGCCAAGGGCCAGAGAGGTGTGTCTAAGGGCACGCAAAGAGACTGTCCTGGCCAAAGAACTGTACCCTGAGTGCATTCCTGAATTTGAATTGAAGCCTGTTGCTTTCCTAATAACCCAAATGTGTGAGTTCTGTGTGGCCACTGCAGTGAATTATCAAACCCAGCAGAGAGGTGGTGGGTGCTGCGAGAGGGGCAGTTGGTGTCAAGGTTGGTAAGAGGGCTGGAGGGTGGTGGCATGTCTGGCCTCATAGGAACAGGCCTTGGACTGCTGATGGTGATTTTGTCTTCCTCTTGTAGAGTCAGAGGAGGTCAAAAGATGCCACCTCCCTGCTCCATTAGCAGCAGCCCAATGCCTTAACCACAGTGCCACCAGAACACCCTTCAACTCAGTAATACCTAGCAATTCCACTCCTAAGTGGAATTCTTCAAAGCAGAGACTAAAAACAAGGTTCATTGCAATTCACAATAACCAAAAGGTAGAAACAACCTAAATACTCATCAATGGATAAATAGATAAACAAAACGTGGTACATATACATAATGGAATATTACTCAGCCAGATACATGCTACAATACAGAGGAAGGTTGAAGTAATTGTGCTGAGTGAAATAAGTCCATAACAAAAGGACAAATACTGTTATGATCTCACTTAAATAAAAAGACAAGAACAGGCAAAAGTATAGAGACCAAAGTTTATAGTGGTTACCAAGGGCAGGAAGGAGGAGGAAAGAGAGGTATTGCTTATGCAATACTGAGTTTTGGTTTACAGTGATAGAAAATTCACATTGATTAAGGGTAAAGTTGCACAGTTGCACAGCTGATTAATGTACTTGCTGTCAATAAATTGTACACCTGTAAAAAGTTAAATTGGCACAACTGTGATAGATATGTTTACAACAATGACCAAAAAAAAAAGTAGCTGCTGAGGCTGGTTATGAACAACAAAATACCTCATGGGATCTGGTTCCTAGGTTTAGAGGCTTAGGGTCATGTTTACATGGGACATCTCAGGTGATTGGCCGAATATCACAGTGAGTGCTTCTGTTCTACCTCCTACTTTGCTGCATAGTGTCTAGGGTAAGTGTGCAAGTGGCCATTCAACTTACCATTGTTCTCCACATGCCTGGAGCAACAGAGGAAGAAGGAAGAGTCGGGAATAGAAGAACTATATGGAATGTGTGGCTAATTGCCTCCATGAACAATTGCCTCCCTTGCCATGAGAACAGATGGTGCCTGGCTATCAGTACTGAACATTTTCATTAAAGATTCCTTAGAAGAATCCTGATCAAAAGGGCAGAAATGCAGAACAGAATTTCAAATTCTCATGGACTCCAGACTTTCTGGAGGCATGGAGTCCAGATGATCCCTGAACATATTGCCCTAAGAAAATCTTTAAATCTTAAACCAAACATAGCTCTTGAAGTTGTCTTAAAACCAAACAATAGTTTAGCTTAGCTAGTAAAGAATGTCTTCCCTGAGCACTGTGCTCTTCTAAGATCTACCTCTATGGAGTCAAACTGATTGCAGCAATTTCAAAGATTAGATAGGAAACTTAGGGGGCAGTGAATTTACGTTAATGAAAGAACAATTCAGAAAAGGAGGATGCGAATGGTTGCACAACTTGAAGAATGTAACCAATGTTACTGAATTATAATGGTAGAAATTGTAAAACTGGTGTAATGGTCTGCTGTGTGTATTCTCAATGACCACAACAAAAACAAATGCATTTATACACACACACAACTCGATAGTAAAAGATATCTTATTAGAAAATGAGCAAAAAACATGAAGAGACATTTCACTGAAGAGGATATACAAGTGACAAATAAGCACAAGAAAAAGATGTTCAACATCATTAGTCACACAATAAATGCACAATTAAAACCACATTGAGATATCACTACAGAACTATAAGAATAATTAAAATAAAAAATAGTGACAATACCAAATTGCTGGCAAGGACACAGAATAATTGTAACACTCACATTGCTAGAGGGAAGATAAACTTTTGGTACAGGCACTCTAGAAAATAGTTTGGCAATTTCTTAAAAAGTACACATACAACTACCATATACCAGCAACTGTACTTTTAGGCATTATCCCAGAGGGATGCAAACTTAGGGTCATAGAAAAACCTGTATACAAATGTTTATAACAGCTTTCTTCATAATGGCAAAAAACTAGAAGGAATCTAGATGTCCCTTAATGAGTGAATAGTTAAACTGTGGTATACACATATCATGGAATAGTACTCAGCAATAAAAAAGAACATATGTTTATACACACAACTAACCGATGAATTCCCCAGAGAATTATGAGAGTGTGTGTGTTTGTGTTTGTGTGTGTGTGTGTTTTGGGGGGAGAACAAATACAGAAGGATGCATCTTGTATGATTTCATCTACATAGCATTCTTGAAATGAAAAAACTATTGAAATGGAGAGAAGACCAGTAGTATTAAGGAAGCTGTAGAGGCAGGAGGGAAGTGTGTGTGACTATAAAAGGGCAGCGTGAAGGATTCTTGCAGTGATGGAAATGTTTGAATCTTGGCTGAATCAATTTTAATATTCTGGTTGTGACACTGTTCCATACTTTGTAAGATATTACCATTGGGATAACTGGTGAAAAGATACAAGGGAATGCTCTGATAATTCTTTACCAGTACATGTGAATCTATAATTATCTCATGCAAATAACATGTAAATAACCTATAATAATCTTAAAACAGTGGTCATAGACACTACAGAACAGTACAGAAGTAGACAAAAGCCAGATCACTGGAACAGAGAAGATTCTATCCTACATAAGAATTTAGTATATGATAAAGGGTTTTTTTCCTTCCTTTTGCCCTTCCAGCTCCATTCTTCACCCTTCCCTAATCTACTACATGTGTGACCAGGCTGATCTCTATGGACTATAACAACTAGAATCCTTGTCATTAATTTTTAGTTGGATTTGGTCAATGGAAGCCACAGACAGGCCAGTAGAGACTGGGAAGAATAAAGTCACAGTATTTATTTACCTTCAATCCTTCAATGCGGGGCCACAATTTGATAGTAACTGCAATTTTATATGAAAGGTTACACTCCTATCAAACAGCACTATTCTTTAGGAATTGTTCTTGCTCTGTTATAATTCCTCCCCTTGCTCTTTCAGGGTTAGGATATTTAAGTACGGATACGTTTACTTCTAGTTTTCCGTTTTACCCAATATATCCATTTCTTCAACAAATTTTTATTAATTACCTACTACATGCCAGACACTAACCCGAGTTCTAAATATATGACAGTGAATAAACCCTTTTGCTAACTCTAGGATACTTCATCATCCCTTGCTTGTTTCCCTTAACTTTGTTTACAACTTTATATATTGTCTCTTCCTGAAACTTTGTTCAGTTATTCTTGAATGTGTCGTCTACTTCTTGTCAAGACCATGATGTACTTGCCAGAGGCAAAACAGGCAAAACCTGGAATGCTAGACTAGTAAATACAAGGATCTTGATACTATCACTTGGTCATTGTTCATATGGAAGTGTATAGTTCAAGTGATGGAAATTTGGGATAGCTGTGTTCATAAATGTTGTATTATTATAAAATATTTTTCAAAGGATAGAATTATGTATCAGAAAATATAACTCCAGATTAATTTGCCAAATTTATAAATTATAACTGTATATGTGTTTATTTAATTAACATTTTTCTACTTACCTGAGGGTCCACTAACCATCCATGGTACAGAGGAATATCAAGAAGATCAAATACTATGCATTCTGGTGTATATTCAAATATTCGAACACCAGTAAATTTTACATTTACATCCAGACCTGTCTGTAGTTTGTGCAAAATTGCCATAGCATCACTCATATTCTGAAAACAGAAAGAGGAAGAGAACAGATAACAAAAATCAAAACAATAAAAAAAGATATTTAAGTGCAAGCATATTTACTCCTAATTTTTCATTTTATCCAACTCATTCATTTCTTCAACAAATTTTTATTAAGTACCTCTTATATGCTCGGCACTAATCTGAGCTTGAAACAGTGAACAAAACAGTCACTGCTCTCACAGAACTTACATTTTACTGGAAGAGACAAACATATCAATATATAATGTCAAGTACTGGCAAGAAAAATTGAACGGGATGAAGACATACAAAGTGACAGGAATGAGGAACCAATTTTAGACCAGGAAGTCTAAAATCAAAGAGGAAGGCTATTTTGAAAATGACATCTAAACAGAGACCAAAGCACTGAGCCTTGGTAACCTCATGGGGAAAGAGCAACTTAGACAAAGTGGATACCAGGGTACTCTGATGTAGAAATGAATTTATTAGTATGTTCATAGAACAGCAAGGAGTCTAGTCTGGCTAGAGTAGAATAAGTGAAGTGAAAAATAGAAGGAAATGTGAGAGACTGTTAGAGGCTGGATCACAAAGACACATTGGCCAAATTAAGGAGTCATTATGTCCACATCAGTTTTCTTAATAGATGTGGTCACGTAAGTCTGTAATGAAGATTATTTTAAAATATGCTTTGACAGAGTTTTAACATACTAAATACATATAATCATAACATGCTAAATACATTTATTTGATGGAACAAAAATAAATGCATAAAATTTAATAAACTTTTATTGAATTCCTACTGTTGAGCAGACACTGTGCTAGACACTAAAGATACAAAAGCTTAGAAGCTACTGGAGGAGCATACAGCAGAAAGGTTAAACAAGAAATAAATCCTCCTATTAAAACTAGGTGACTCATTTGAAATTTTAATTAAAATAAGAAATTTAGGTCACATAAACAAAGTTCTATTTTACCCAAAAACTTACAAAATTTCATTTTGAGAGACTGTACAGACTGAAAATAGAAACTATTCAAATGCTATAAATTCACAAATGGTAGATTTTATAACAAGATAACATTGTTAGTCTTTGACCTTTGTCAACTTTATCTATTCCAAATACCAATCTTTCCCCCAAACAGTGTATTTTTTCAACCTTCCCAAAAGATTGAGCCTTTAAAAAGAAACAGGTTAGGCTGACGTCTACAAAGGTGCAATATTCCTTGTTACCCTTGTACCCCCGCGGTGTAGCAAATTACATGGTACAGTTCTCTAGCCATAGTCTTAGTAACTCCCACTTTGCCATGAGCAACTGAATAGCTGGCTGTTAAAGTTATCCACCTGGTGTGTATCTGTTGGAGCAGCATGAAGCAATCTTATGGGAAGGATTGCCCTCCCTCTTGCTCTGGTTCTGCGTTTTGGCTCATTGTCATCTCATCCCTGGATTTGGGACAGCAGCTGTCATCTGAACTGCTGATTGAGGTTCATCAAACCCCGAGAATTGGGCAGATCCTCCAGACCTACTTACAGACCTGGGACTTGCCCACCTGCCAGCCTCCCAGCCTCCACCACCACTATGTGGGATGATCCCTTGGGTGTCTGTGAGTTCTGAGAGATGTTACAGTGAAATACAGAACCCTAAGACAAGGGGGGAGATTAGAGAGGAAGAGTTAATGTCTGAAATGATGGAGTGACAAAGTAGTTTAGACATCTGGGACATCTTTAACCTCTGCATCATGGGGACCAGCCTTGTGCTGATCTTTCTAAAAGAGATTGTTCAATCAACCCCGCAGCTTTTTGGTAAACAGAGTTGTGGCTATCCTCCACCTCCACCCACTTTCTGAACTAGAATTCCATCCTGATCTAGGTGCCCTGCAACCACTGCCTTCTGGGCAGACAGGAACTGGTCCCAGTACTAGATGCCCTGTTGCCAGGCACCCTTTGAGATATTAGAAATTTTTTCTGAGACCACATACCCTACATGCAGCTGGCTTTTGGGATGACAGGAACTTTTTTCTGGGAATAGGACCCTGCTCCCAGTTATCTTTTGAGACAGCAGGAATTCTGTCAGGGTCTACAAGCCCTGCTCACAGCTGCTTTTTGAGCTGGCTGGAACTCCCTCTGGAACCAGATGCCTTGCTTCCAATCACCTTTAGGACCGGCAGAAACTTTTTCTAGGTCCAGGAGCCCTGCCCACAGACACTGGATCATCAGGAACTAGTCTGAAATCTAGTAGCTTATCCCCAGTTGTGTTCTAAGTAGATAGGAACTAGCTGCTAGATCAGCCACCCTACTGCAAGCAGCATTTTGGGCTGGCAAGAAGTTGTGCTGGGTCCAGATGCCCTACACTAAGCCCAACTTTAGGGATGGCAGGAACTTTTTCTGGGAGTAGGAGCCCTGTGCCCAGCTGCCTTTTGGGACAGCAGTGACTTCTTCTGAGAGCAGATGCCCTATCTCTAGCCGCATTTTGAGCAGGTAGGAATTCCTTTTGAAACCAGATGATTTTCTCCCACTTCTGTCTGGCTCAGCAAGAATTTTTATCAGGTACAGATACCATGCCCCCAGACATATTCTAGACAACAGGAACTCTTCTGAAATCAGATGCCTTGCACCTAGTTCCCTCATGGGCAGGAAGGAACTAATACCAGAGCGAGGTGCCCTGCTCCCCATTGACTACTTGGCCAGTAGAAACAGAGCACAGGTGCCCTGTCCCATCTTCCCAGTTTTGTTTTTTGTTTGTTTGTTTAAAAATTTATTTTTTTTCCTCTTTTTTTCCTAGATTATTATTTTTCTCTCTCTCCCTTTCCTGGTTTTTCCTTTCACTTTATTTTACTTTTTCTCTCCTTCCCTGTTCCCTTCTTTTTACTTTCTTTTCATTTTTTTTAATCTTATGGTTCTGCCTGTCCCTTGGTTTTCTTTTTGTATTCTTCTAATTTTTTTCTTTATTATTCTTTTTCTCTTGCTCTCTTCTCTTTGTTCCCCCTCACCAGATACTGTGAGGTGTTTTGTCTTTGTCCTTCTTTATTATTTTTTTTTTTTTCATTTATTGCCTTTTCAGGGTTTTTTTTTTTTTTTTTTTTTTGCAATTGTTGCTGTGTGTTTATGCAATACATGTTTTTTATTCTCTTATTTTATTTTGTTTTACCAGGTGGAAAACAGCAACCATGCCTACATGATCCAATCACACCTGCACTTCCTACAGCCTTATCTACTGGGAGAGGACAACCCTCTGCTTCTGCACCAACTGACCAATGAAAGATGGCAGCCAATACCAGCCCAATTCACCCTCAATTGCTCTTCACAAACAGCTAACAGAGCTATGCACATACTCTCACCCTCTCTATCATACCCATCAGGAGACAGGTATTAAGTTCCTAAATGCTGTCAGACTACCAAATATAGTAGAAATAAAAATATAACAATAGCACAATGTCTCAGAGACAACTGACAAATTCAGTTCACACAAACAAGTAAGATAAATTAGTACAAACAAGGGACCAAGATACAAACCCAGAAAATATCAGTGAGGAAGAAGCAGCTATGGAACTGCATGGTAAAGAATTCAAATGAATTATATTTAGGTACCTAGAATGGACTAAGAGACAGATCAAGGAAACTAAAGAAAACTAAGGAAAACATAGACAAAACTCCAGAACAATTTAGGAAGACAATATAAGAACAAACTGACAAGATAAATAAAAAATTAGAAATGATACAACAACTACAAATAGAAATCTAAAAGATGAATACAAAATTTAAGAATGAGATAACACATTGAATGGGCAAGGAAGTAGAATCAAATCAATGGAAAACAGAATTAGTGAGACTGAAAGACAAAACCCTCAATACTACCTTGTTAAGGGATCGATTAAAAAAAAAAAAAATCAAAACAAAATTAAGAAAGCCTAAGATCCATGTGAGATACCATAAAGAGAAATAACTTATGTGTGATTGGAATCACAAAAGAGGAAGAGACAAAGAAAACCATACAGAAAACTGTCAAAGATGTCTTGGAAGAGAATTTCACTAATATGATGAAAGATAAGAAGATATCCATTTAAGAAGTTCAACAAACCCCAAACAGGATAGACCCCAAAAGAAAATCACCAAGGCATATCATAATCAAAATCACCAAAACCAAAGACAAAGAAAGTATCCTAAAAGCAGCATGGGAAAAACAAAAAGTTACCTTCAAAGGGCAACAAATAAGACTTAAGCTGTGACTTTTTTGGCAGAAACCATGCAGGTGAGAAGGCAATGGGACGATACATACAAAATCTTGAAAGAAAAAAAATGTCCAACCAAGAATTATATACCCAGCAAAACTGTCCTTCAAATATGATGCTGAAATTAGGACATGTCCAGATAAACAGAAATTAAGGGAATTTGTTATAAACAGACCAACCTTACAAGAGATGCTAAAAGGAGTCCTTCAGACAGAGAACCAACAACAGCTGATAACAACCAATGATTAACACATATGATGACATAACCCAGAAACCAATCCAGTTATAAACCAAACCAAACTCACTGCCATTGAGTTCAAATCTGACTCCTAGCAACCCCTCATTGGGTTTCCAAGGCAGTATCACCATGCAAGTAGATTGCCCAACCTTCCTTCTGAGGAATAGCTGGTGGGTTTGAACCACCAGCCTTCTGGTTAGCAGTCAATTGCCTTAGGCACTATGCCACCAGAGCTCCTAATCCAGTTATAGAAGTATTCAAAGTAAAATAAGCTTACAAGATTGAAAACAGAACCAGAGACATCAATTAGCATATGAGGACTACTACAAACCAAAAACAAGGAACAAATAGTGTAGTGACAGAACTTTTAAATGATGTGGAAGGCAAGACAATTGTGAGATAGAAAAGAATGTTCTAAACTTGGGAAGAAAATAGTAAGTCACGGGGTAATCTCAAAGAAAAATAATAAACTTTTGCATCAAAATAAAAAAGAGGACAAATATTTAGCAAATACTAAAACAACAGCAATGAAGGAAATGATGACATGATTCATAAACACAA